TGTGGAAGACAACTGCAAATTTGGAGGAATATAATTTCTCAGCACCTTGAGCACCTTAAGACACTTTATAAAAGTCCACAAATAGTTTCAAAGCAATTCAAGATTAACTGAATGTGATAGATATTCATCTGGATTTTCATTATTTAATTTAAGCCTACATAGTACCACAGGCATACAAATCCATCAGATTATATCCATTACTCAAGTTAAGTTTCTACATCACTATAAAACGTTATCTTTTTCCATACAGCTGCTAAAATACAACTTATTTCCTTGAAAAAAAAAATCAACCTTTTTCTCAACACAGACAATTAGGCATGAGCAATACCAAATTCCCTTCTAAGGATCTATATAGGATAAACCTCATCCAGTGTGTACCAGAAAACACAGAAACAAAAACACATATACTTAAGCGCACAGCACACCTTCATTTCAAACCAGAAGAAAACACTAAACCCAGCATGGGAATTGTGCCTGGATAGGATACCCTCTATCCATTGACTTACCACTCTTGCTGTGAGAAACTGCAGGTAAACCCAGAAAGGTCTATTACAGTTTTTCCATCTTGAAGTAATCTTTTTGTTTATCCATAAATATTCGTGAAGCTCCACAGTACTAGAGAGTATCAACACAGGGGAGCTAGAGCCCAACAGTAATGAAGATTCCCTTTGACTAACTACATAAAATGCAGTAAATGAAGTCCACATGTGTATTCACTGACAGCTGACAATGATTTCAAAACCAGTAACTGATGTGAGAGAGTGATGGAAAAGGCAAATATTACCCTAAAATGTACCAGAAAGAGATAAAGGAGATAAAGATTTATCAGTGCTTTTTCTACAACATTGCTGTATTACACAGCAGACTGAGTAATTTTGGCCATCCATCTGAAAAACAGGTTAATGTCATCTTAAATATTCTCTGAGATGGGTTCCCTGCAGTGTATTTATGTTAGGGAAGATTGTAAAAGAACCTACCTTCTTTGACCTAAAAAGCAAAGGAAGAGACAATATGTGACAGCACTCGGCAAAGACATCAAGGCTAAACACTACTGAGGGAGAAGAAGTGTCTAAACTAAAGCAAGAGTTTGGCACAAGGACAAAAGGGATTATACCTGCTATGAATACATTGAGACTAGAAACTAGAAAGTGTCTAGCCATCAGAGCTCAGAGTATGGTGTAGCCTCACAGTGGGAATAACATAAGGAAAATAACCTAATTAGTTTTAAGAGGGAGATTGAAAAGTTTAAGAATGTCTCAACAGCAGGGGACTGGATTTGGGAAGTGCCTTTTCGTCCTGCGTTCAAAGGGGAAGACTGATCAGAGAACAGAACCTGTATCTGCATAAATTTCCACTCAGAAGCATTCTTGCAGGTTAGTCTCATGAGGTTTAACTAATCACACCTTTAGTTCACAAAAACATCAGTAGTTCATGCAAGTGCCAGATACCTGTGTGCACCTAACTACAGGTTAATGCCTGGAGTTATTGAGTCTCTATTTTGCCACTGATATACTAACCATTCTTAAGAGGGATAAAAAGCACCATAGCAGCAACATGGCAGAATCAGTAAAAAGGATTTGGGGTGGGTTTGGACACCCGTGCAAGTGTTAGCATGAAAAGTAACAAACAGTGTAGTAAGTCTGGTATAAAAGTCGAATGAAACTATTTGTAAATATTATTATTTTTCTTCTGTATACCATCTCTTCTGAGAGCCAGTTCACAATGGTCCAAACGCAATTATAGGGCCATTTCTACATATAAATGAGTTAAAAACCAGAAAAATCCAAGTTTGTTGTTTTTTTGATTTGAGGGATCAGCTTCATCACTGTCATTTAAACAGGAAAAATCACTGAAATTACAAAAGAAATTACAGGTACAAAGAACACATAGAAATTAACACACTGCGATACATGTTAGTGTGTTCTCAAAACTTCAGAAGAGAGCTGCTCTGACATTGAAAGTTAAATCCTAAGGATTACTTAAGGAATACTGTAGTCTTGATGAACACTTAATCCCTGAACTTTATTTCCAATTAAAGAAGTGCATCATTAACTACAAGTAGTAAGAGCTGAGAGAGGGGTGGCCTCAGATGAACAGAAGAATTAGCAGATGATTGTTACTTAGTTTTATTTTACACTACATATCCATGTGTAAATGCTAACCATGACTTGAAGCTCCTCTATCATCAGGTGTGACATCCATGCACAATTTTGCAAAATTAACTCTCTCTTACACCGACAGCATTTTGCCTTTCCTCATCACTCAGAAGTTATCTCCCCAAACCTATGAGGCACCTGAGCTCTGATTTGGTGGTACCCATGTACCATCTTTCACTCCCCAACACAGAAACCATGGTACTCTGAGTTGACATGAATTCCTTCAGCTCAGCTCAGAAAGCAAAGCACTGTCAAAACCCAAATCAACATGACACCAGCTGTGCAGAAGCAACAACAGAGTGACCACAGGTTTTCTTCATACGTGCTTTTCTCTCCAAGAGCATGTCTGTACTCCTCCCACCACTTCTCAGAGGCAAATAGCATGCCTGAGCATACAGAGCTCTGCCAAGAGGAAGCAGAGACAGAGCCACCAGCATTGTGCCAGGCAAAGGGCCCTGTGCAGGAACAGCTGTGAGGCAGCAATGCTTCTACCCACACCCACACAAAATGGGAAGGAAAATTTGCCCACTTATTGTCCCTCCCTAGACAAGCTGTTCACTCAACTCCCCTCTCTCTGCAGCTGCCCTCTGTCCCCTGCAGCTATGAGGTGACCCAAGGGCGCTGCAAGGGGCAGCCTGGCACCCCCTGCCCAGGGCATCCCGTCCCTTCACCCACCAGGCCTCGCCACTGCAGGATCCTCGGCACCTGCCTGCACCCCGCCCAGGGCCAGGCAGGCACTTGCCCAGGCTGCCCGCAGACGCCAGGAGCGGGGCGCTGTGCCCAGGAAGGAAAGCACAGGGCAGCCCCAGCTCACGCAGCCGGGCGGACCGAAGCCCCATTCCCCCTGCGGGGGGTGCGGGCGCGGAGTGATGACGTCACCGGGGCCGCTCGCCTCCCCCAATGGCCGAGCCCGCTGCTCCCGCGCCTCCGAGGCAGCTCCAAGATGGCCGCTGTCTGGGGCGGCCGCAGCCGAGGCCGCGCGGTCTGGAGGGGCTGCCGAGGCTGGGTGGGTTCTGTGGGGGCCCTTGCGCCTCGCACGGGGTTGCTCCAGGCCCTGAGGGCTCCTCCAGCCTGCCTCGAGGTTGCTCACCTCGCTATCTGGCCCTGCGGAGGCTGCCCGGCCCAGAGTCCCTGCTGCCAGGTGACGGTGGCCTCGGGGCTGCGGCCTGTCTTTGGCTTTACCTTCTTCTCTCGGGCCCTTCTACTGACCGGCTGGGCCCCAGGTAGCAGTGTTGGCCTGGGGTGAGGGAGTCACCGCTGCCACAGCACCCCAGGAAGCACCCTGAGGCAGCCCAGTAAAGGGCAGAGAGACTACAGCAAACCAAGGAGGGCTGCGCTGGGCCTTGCTGCTTGTTGGAAGTTGTTTCATAGAGTTTAGGTTGCTTGTTAGCAAACTGATGACCCACACACACTCCACACAGCCACACAAGAGAGGGGTTGGCACCTGAAGAGTGTGGGTCATCACAGCAGTTATCTAATGTACTGTGCAGAGCTGGGGTTTATGAAACCTGAAGGGTCACCCACGGGTGGATTTGGAGCATGAGCCCTTTTTATAATATCTCTTGGGAAAAAATATATGGCAGGAGATGGCAGTGATTTAATTTTGTGTAGCTACCAGTTTACCTTGGGCAGCAACCTAGAAAAATATGCCAGTAATAAAAGAATGGAAGGCAAAAGGCCACCTTGGTTTGTATTGTCCCTGAGCCTTGCTAATGGGGTAACAGCACTGAACATTCTCCAGGGGAGAAATGAAAGACCATCCCATATGCCAGCCTGGCCTGCCTTTGGCCCAGCCTCACCCTCGACTGGCTGCAGATTGTGTCTGCAGACAGGTCAGATTACCTCCTTGAATAGCCCTTGCCATGGCAGGATACTGTCTGAACAACTGCTCTGCTATTAGCTTTATTCCCACCGTCCCCTATGCTATTCAAAGACAGACCCTCAGTGAAGAGTTGTTTGGTTTGATTTTTTTTTTCCCTGGGAAAAACTCAAGCCATCTATGGATTTTAATTGACACAGAAATCTGATGTGAATTAGAGGTGACTATATGCTGACAATCTCTGTGTTTCACACACCTGCATATGGCTTTTAAAAGATCACCCTTCATGATGGTAAATCTTATACCACTGTCACAGCATTTATATCCTGAGATCTTCTGGAAGCCTGGGGCTTGATAGAAAGCTAATTCCCAATACAGTGAAACATTTGCAGGAGCTTGCCATTGCAGACTGTATTCTGAAACCTTCACTTCCTTCCTCAGAGCTGTCCACAGAAGTGCTCTGAATCATATTTGCTTCTACACACTCCTGGAAAGCTGTGGAAAACCCACTCCCTCAGCCAGGCATGTTGGACAAGCTTGCTTCTTCCTGCTGGATTTTACAACTGCAAACGAGGCTTGAAAATAAAACAAAACAAAACAAAACAAACTCACCAGGAACACCAGCAGCCCTGCTCTGAACACGTGGGATGCTTCCCTGGATCCCTGCTCATTTCCTGGAGTGAAACTCAGACACACCAGCGCTGTCCTGAAGTGTGTGGAGGCTTTTTTTTTTTTTCCTCTCTCTCCTTCTTTTCTTTTCCCTCCTTCCTTGTGTTGATTTGTGGGGCCAGAATGACTTTGATTTCAGCAAGTTTGCTGTTTATTCACGTCACAAGTTTGACAGCTTTACACCAAATCAGATTGCTGGGTTTCAGGAGAGCTCTGAGGCGTCACTGGGAGCTCCTTTAGATTAAACTCGCCTCCCCGGTCTCCCCCCTCTCCCCCTCCTTCAGAGCCATTTAAACCCTCTCTGGGGCTTTAACAGAAACGTGCTCCCAAGACCTGCATTTCATTCTGCCACTAACATGGTAAGTGCTCTTTGCATTTCTCTCGACCTGAAGGCTGAAAAGGAGAAGCTGGTCTCTTTGCCTTGGGGGCTTGCAGTAGGTTTTGTGCCCTCTTTAGGATGGGGAAAGAAGAGGGCTCTCCTCTACCTGGAAGAGCCGTCTCTGCTGCTGTGCCTTCCCATGGGTGAGCAGTTTCCCTCCTTGAGACTCCCAGGTCTGCCGTTGCCTTAGAGAGATTTAGAACTGCTGCATATGGAGCTTATTTGGAGGGGAGAAAAGGGGTGAATCCAGAGACAACCCCAGGCTTTGCTACCGTGCGGGCTGGGACTCCTGCAGAACTGCAGGGGCAGAAGAGAGTGCGAGCAGCCTGGAGGTGACTCTCCTGGCTTTGTGCTGACTTAGAGCTTAATCAAGTCCCCAAGGTGGGAGCAACGGACCCGCCAAGGACAGCCTGGGTCCTCCCCGCACCTTAAACCCACTCAGGACCGCAGTATTTCCCAGGGGATTGCAGGAAACTCAGCCACCTCCTCGACATACCGCTGCTCGGAGCCCCTCTGCCGCGGGGGGCTGCGGCGGGGGCGGCACTGCCCAGCGCTCGGCGGAGGTGGCGGCGCGGTGCGGTGCCACC